TCTTTGAATATTGAACAAGAATCAATGAAATGTATGGATGCTAGCCATTAACAAAACTCAATAATTTTTGTAACATCTGGGTCCTAATTTAATGAAAATAGTTTTTCATTTAAAAATATACAAACTACTTGAATTGCATTGATCGAAAGCTCTATAGGGAGCTCAAGTAGTTTTTTTCCTAATTATTTTTTTCTTTTGTTTATTTTTTATTTTTTATTTATTTTTTTATTTTTTTTTTAGGATGCTGCATTATTTCAAATTCCAACAAAGGCAACATCAAGAACTGCCAATGTTAAGGTATTCAAACTTAACACTTAATTTTATTTTTATGAATTTAAATGATGATTATAATTTAAAATCAAAAACTTTTATTTATACCCAGGGTTATTTTCCTCCTTCTACACGTACCATTATGTCCTTTTATAAAATCGCCTACGCACGGTTATGTTGAAGGGATGTTGCTCTTTGCTTTGAATTCGCCTCGTATTTAATTTGCAAATTTTCAACAAGGCTGAAAGAGCGAAAATATTGTTGATTTGTTGTTTAACGTCCCTCTCGAGAATTTTTCGTTCATATGGAGACGCCACCACTTTGCCGGTGGAGAGCTGCAAATGTTGACCTATACTCGGCACTTAGGGCCATTGAGCAGTGAGGAATTTTTTTCGTGCCAGCACGTACTGCGACACGGGACCTCGGTTTATTCGGTCTCATCCGAAGGACCGGTCTCCACGTCCCAAAGTGGGATTCGAACCCGCGACGTAAGGATCAACTCCTTCGCGACTCTAGAGCAGACGCTCTACCACTGCGCCACGCGGGCGACTAAGAGCGAAAATAAAACTGAACCTTAAATTTCCTAGAATACAATATTACTAATTTAATCTTTTCTTTAACACTCGGGCGTCTAAGAGCGAAAATAAAACTGGACCTTAAATTTCCTAGAATACAATATTTGTATAATCAAAACTTATATATACTTTTCATAATGGTTATTTCCAATTATTTTAACTATCATTGTATTAACAAACTTTCTTCATACAGAAAGGATTTCTCGTTTGATCTGTTCCGTTTTTTCAAATAAAGTTAATGTCATAAATCGACATTGTGTACCAAAGCATTTGATTAATTGTATGTTGTTTTACGTCCCATTCGAGAATTTTTCACTCTTATAGAGACGTCATCATATACCGGTGAAGGGCTTCGAATTTAGACCTTTACTCGGCACTCAGGGCCGAGCAGTGAGGAATCTTTATCGTGCCAAAAGCTTGCCGTGACAAGGAGCCTCGGTTTTTAAGGTCTCATCCGAAGGACCAATAACTTTCACTTCAAAGTGCCGAGCGCCTTGCGAAGGAAAAGTTGCTACGGTAACCTATTTTTTTATCGACTTAGGTCAGTCGTGGCCGAATTCGAACTCACAGCCTTCCGATCACGGAGCTACCTCTCTACCGACTGAGCTACCGTGATGGCTCAAAGCATTTGAAACAACCTTCATGTTTTGTTTTTTTTTTTTTTTCTAAAAGGAAATATAACAAAAACAATTTTTTGTCTTACAAGTACATCATAAGGACCGACAACCATGTATATCAGGAAAACCAGCAAAATGAAAAACAACCACGTCGGAAATATCTTCTTTTATGGGTGGCATTGTTCCTCATTGCATCAATTGGTATTGCCCTTGGCGTCTCTTTTGTGTTAACTTTAAAAGGTATGCTTATTCAAAATCCTATACATGATTAAAAGAAATCTCTTGCTGTGGCGTTCAACTGACATTTAGATATATCAACGACGTATTGTTAATTAACAATAAATATGTCGACACGATATATCCCAGTGAGCTTGAAATAAAAGATACCACAGAGTCTGACACATCTGTTTAATATTTGAATATTTTACTAGAAAAAAGACGTTTATAGTAATCAATCAACAATGTTTATGATAAATGTGATGACTTTAACTTTTCAATCGTCAACCTCCTTTACTTATGCAGCAATATACCCTTATCATTTGAATAAAACATCTCTCAGTTGATTTACAAATTTATGTTTCATAAAAAAACTTTCTTAGTGGTGTTTATAAACATATATGACAGATTAGCTAGGGGTGTCCAAACTGTGGCTCGAACCTACAACCCTCAGATTTAAAATCCAATGCTCTACCGACTGAGCTAAAGGGTTAACCCACTAGCTAGTGCTAGTAGGAGCGTGGCCTAACTATATACAACGCATAGCCACTTTCAACTCTGTTACACACAATTATATGAGAAAAAAGTAATAGAAAGGCTTCAATGTATGGTACAACATCACTTTTCCTGCCATTTAAAATGGTTTCACGCACGTTTTAAAGTACCATGTTCAATCTAAAAAAGCTTTGCTTCTTTTTAGACAATAAACAAAAAATACCACAAGAAAATCTGGAAACAACAACGGAATTATTTACCACTACCACAATTCCTACATCAGGTAAGTTATGTGATAAATAATTATTTCTGCAGATTACTAGTTATTGTACCCCAAAATACCAATTCAAAGCAATCAAACCGATATCTTTTTCTACTTCACGTCGAAGTTAAAGTGATTGATTTACCGTTTGTTCTTTCATAAAAGACGGCACGCCTTTAGATAAGAACAGGGCATAAGTTTTAGGCATTGTAGCATTTTAGTCTTGGTTTCAACTTGTTTCTGTCTTTCATAATTTGTGATTTATTCCCTCGCTGAAAACATAGCTTTAAAAAAGGAGTAAGGGTACGTGCAAAGCAAAATTAATTGTACTGAAAAACAAATTGCAAATAACACCTGCACATATACAAGACGCACATCTGCAAACCAAAAAAATGAAAATTATAGTGAAAATACACAAACTTAAATATAACTATGCCCAATTCGACAAAACATTATTATTACCTAATTTAAACTGTTCTAGACCTGATTTAAGGAATAAACAAGATGCCGCTACAGTAAAAAAATATGTTTGTTTGTTTGTATGTTGTTTAACGTCCCTTTCGAGAAATTTTCACTCATATGGAGACGCCACCACTTGCCGGTGGAGAGCTGCAAATTTTGTCCTATGCTCGGCACTTACGGCCATTGAGCAGTGAGGGATCTTTTTCGTGCCAGCACGTACTGCGACACGGGACCTCGGTTTATACGGACTAATCCGAAGGACCGGTCTCCACGTCCGACAGTGGGATTTGAACCCGCGACCTAAGGATCAACTCCGTACTTCGCGACTCTAGAGCAGACGCTCTAACCACTGCGCCACGCAAAAAAAAATATTTAATTTTGGTTGAAACGCGTCATTTGATTGGATGAAAAAAAAAAGTTTATATCGTATAACCTGTGTTGCTAACGTCACAATGACTTATGTCAAAAACGTATGAATCCGCTTGACGTTACATTCAAAATATGTACTATTTGAAGTCATTTTTGAAGGTAAAATTGTCTTATTTTTCTACACTTAATGATGGAAAATTAAATTATAAGGAATGAATTTAATTAATAGCTACTCAAGTTATACTGGTATAACCTGGTTTGGAACATTTTACCCTTTATAAACCGCTTCATGGTTTATAAAGCGTAAACTGCTCCAACCCAGGTTATACCAGTATAACTTGGGCAGCTATTAAATTCACTCCTAAAATATACTTCTCTCTCTCTCTCTAAATATATATATATATATACACAGAGAGAGAAGGGGGAGAAGAGAGATGAGAAATATACCTGTTTAACTTTTCATTTTATGTTATTTTCGTTATTTTAGGTGTGAGAGGGAAACAGTTTGTACTTCTTTTTACTAAAAATTTAATAAACGCAAGGAAATCCATATTTGTCACTGCTGAGAACGATTTTGAATTGAATATCACTACTTCTGAGCACATTGACACATCTTTGAAAATGGCAATAGATCGCTCCACTTCTGCAAGTTCTCCATATCAAATCATTTTACCTAATGCAATTGAGCTTAGTCATAACAAAGTGGAGCAAAAAGCTATTTTTCTTGAGACGTCCAATGATGTTTCGGTATTTTTCGAAGATTTTGCACAGTTTAGTGCTGATTCTTCCGCAGTTATTCCTGTCCACAAACTCGGAACTTACCACATCGTAGTGACAATGCCGCCAGACTCGCGTAAAAGTCAAATCGCTGTTGCATCGTTGGAAAACAATACAGAAATTACTATACGATTTAAAATGGCAGTAAACATACCATTAAATATTGATGGAAACATTTTTAGAGACGGTGATATTTTCAATTTACGGTTGAACAAGTTCGAAACCTTTCAAGTAGGTCATACCACAGATCTAACAGGAACTCTTGTAAATTCTTCAGCACCAATAGCTGTATTTTCCGGTGATGAATGCACAAAACTTATGTCACGCGGAGCATGTGATCACCTTGTAGAACAAGTTCCGCCTTTCCTGAATCTTGATAATGTTTTCATTGTACCTTCACATGCTGAAGACCGAACTACAGTCATCCGGGTCACAGCAGGAAAGGACACTAACTTTACGTACACTGTAAATTCTATCGCGACAGACTTAACTTTGCTGACGGGAAATTCGCACGAAATATCAATTTACAGCAATCAAATCTGCTTAATTCAATCCGAGGGTCCTATTCTTGTTACAAGTGTAAGTGTTGCATCGACGACCACTACAAATGGAGATCCTTATATGACAATAGTCCCAGGCATTCACCAGTTTATTGATTACTACAAGGTGCCAATCCCATACAACTACAATACCAACTACGTTTCCATTACAATCAATTCCAGCGCTGTGTCAAATATCTTAACAAACGGAACATCAGTTTTGCAATCGAACATTGTTTATGAAAGCTCTTCAAATTCAGAAAATGGGAACTTCACGGTTTTGACATTGAGTGTTATACCCGGTGAACTTAGAATACACACATCGGATCATACTCCATTCGGGCTTCTTATATACGGGCACGGTAGATATGTTGGTTATGGATTTTCAGGAAACACTCTTCTACAAGATGAAGAATGATATTTAGAATGAATATTTTGCCTCAATATTAAATTCAAAGACATTCAAATATACGGATATCGATTAATCACACAAATATGTATTTTAAAAGATAAACTTGTTTGGCATCGATATCATGCTTTTGTGAAAACAGGTGATGCAAAATGATATTTTTTAATTGACAAGAAATTAATAAAAGAATATTTGTCCATCGCCGATCAAAAAAATATACTCATTTGTGAAACAAAAAGAAACCAGGAAAATATTATTAAATATCTGCTTAATTACTTTAGTTTGGTTCTGTCATACACGCAAATGCAGCATTATTTTCTCTTGAGAGGATTATTTTATTATACTGAACAATCATTCTCTGATAATATTATTAAGATCAACAATTTAAAAAAATGATTTAACATCTTGCTTAGAATTTGTTATTAAGGTCAGATGAAATGTTCCTCAATAAAAGATAATTTTTCCAAAGAATTTATCACTGAAGTACTCTAACGAGATTCCTCACAAAATATAAAGATACCTTACCAGGAATTTGTGCAAGATACAAGAGGATGCCGTTACTTTATGATCCTATTGGAAATCACTTATATTGGCAATATCACATATTTTAAATGTCTTTATTTATATGACGTTTTAAAAACAGTTTAGAAATCTCAAGATAATGATAGTTATGATCTATTTGTTGTACTTTACAAAGCAATACAAAACAAATATTCAGCCACGTGTCATTAATGGTATTGTGTTAGTCTTTGCTCTCATAACTATCAACAACGTTGAAATGATTTACTAATGAATCTGCCATTCAGTTATGTAACAGAATTTTCAGATGTGTAATATTGAGTAAGCGCTTGATTGAAAACATAATGAAATGATACGCAGATTGTGTTCATAAAGCATAACAATCGTCACAAGGAACAAATAAGGTGTACCCTAAATATGTGATATATAATAATGTTTGCTGGATTAATTATTTGTCCGATACATGTGTGACTTTTAAAATATGTCTTTTACGTTAAGCATTTCGAGAGAAATCAATGCAATGCTTAATTTAGAACAAAATAAGTGAATGTATAACATATTCAATTTTACACAAAAATAGTTATACTTACTTGAAACTATAACCCCTGTTTTGGAATGAATCTCAAAAACGTTATCCTTAAACACCGTCCGAGCTGCTTTCATACCGTACCATTCTCCAAAAATTATTGCGAGACAAGCGCACACCTGAGTTATTAAAGCAACGACTTAACGAAGAGAATATTCGAACATTGCACATCGATCCATATGATTTTTTTTCCCGTATTTACCACTCGATCTAATCGCCCGCGTGACGCAGTGGTTAGAGCGTTCCCTCTAGAGTCGCGGCGTAAGGAATTGATCCTTACGGGTTCGAATCCCACTTTGGGACGTGGAGACCGGTCCTTCGGATGAGACCGTATAAACCGAGGTCCCGTGTCGCAATAGGTGATGGTACGAAAAAGATCCCTCACTGCTCAATGGCCCTAAGTGCCGAATATGGGTCAAAATTTGTAGCTCTCCACCGGCAAGTGGTGGCGTCTCCATATGAGTGAAAAATTCTCGAGAGGGACGTTAAACAGTAAACAAACAAATAACAACCTCTCGCAAATGCATCTCGCTGTTATAACTTTGTTCTCGCGGTAAAAACAAAAGTTCACCAAAATAATAAACCCATCTATATCTACTGGATAGTACAGATAAATAGTCCACGTGTTCAAAATTCTGGTAAAATTAACTTTGCATATTAAAACTTTTACTCTGTTTGCCACGAATATGTCCAGAAGCATAGAAGATTTTCAAAGAAATGCATTTTCACTATATTATTAAATAAATGAAGCCCCACCCTTACACCAGAACATCTGACCCAGGGACCATGAACTCGCAATTTTTGAAGAAGCACCCTTGCTCATCATAACTATACACTTGTTTCTTTGCTTTATAACCAGTAGGAGAAAAAATATTTTGAAAGAAATTATGCATTTTCACTATATAATCAATAGAGTCCCTCCCCCCTTCTTCACCAGAACCCCTGACCCAAGGGTCATAAATTTCACAATTTTGGAATGGGCATTCTTCCTTATGATAACCATGCACTTCCTTTGTTTAAATAATACACAGAAGCAGAGAAGATTTTGAAAAAACGTATGCACTGTCCCTATATAATCAATAGAGCCCCGCCCTAACACCAGAACCCTTGACCCAGGGGCCATGAAATTCACAATTTTGAAAGAGGCAACCTTGCTCATCATAAATATGTTCTTAGTTTATTTAATATCCAGGAGCAGAGGAGAAGGTTTTCAAAGAATTAATGCAATTTTACTATATAATCAATAAAGCCCCGCCCTAACACCTGAACCCCTGACCCAGGGGCCATAAAATTCGCAATTTCTGAATAGGCAGCCATGCTATGTTCTTAGTTAGTTTATTTAATACCCATGGAGCAGAAGAGATTTTCAAAGAATTAATACATTTTCACTATATAGTCAATAGAGCCCCGCCCTAACACCAGAACCCCTGACCCAGGGGCCATGAAATTCACAATTTTGGAAGAAGCAACCTTTTGCTCATCATGGATATGTACTTAGTTACTTTATCTAATACCCAGGAGCAGTGAAGAAGATTTTCAAAGAATGAATGTATTTTCACTTTATAGTCAATAGAGCCCCGCCCCAACACCAGAACCCCTGACCATGGGGCCATAAATTTAACAATTGTGGAAGAGGCACTCGTGCTCAACAAAACTATGTGTTTAGTTACTTTACTCAATACCTAGTAGCAGAGAAGAAAATTTTCAAAGGATTAATGCATTTTCACTATATAGTCAATAGAGCCCCGCCCTAACACCTGAACTCCTGACCCTGGGGCATGAAATTCACAATTTTGGAAAAGGCACTCTTGCTCATCATGTCTGTACTTAATAACTTTATTTAATACCCAGGAGCAGAGAAGAAATTTTTTAAAGAATTATTGCATTTTCAGTATATAATCAATAAAGCCCCACCCTAACACCAGAACCATTGACCCCGGGGCCATGAAATTCACAATTTTGGAAGAGACACTCTTGTTCATCATAACTTTGTACTTAGTTACTTTATTTAAAACCAGAAGCATAGAAGAAGATTTTCAAAAGAATAATGCCCTTTCACTGATCTATATAGCCCCACTCTAGCACCAGAACCCCTGACCCTGGGGCCATGAATTTCACAATTTTGGTAGAGGGCTGAATGATTATGACAATCATGCCAACAGTTTGACTGCTTGATGTCTAGGAGTAAAGAAGAAGATTTTTAAAGATTCCATTATTTTGGTGGTTTTAGCCCCACCCCTCAGACTCCAAGGGGACAGGGACCATGAAATTCACAATTTTTGTTCCCCTTTACCCATAGATGCTATATGCCAAATTTGGTTGAAATTGGTTAAGCGGTTTCAGAGAAGAAGCTAAAATGTTCAAATGTTAACACAAGACGCACGCCGACGGACGAAAGCGGATAGCAAAGGTCACCTGAGTGACTCTTGTGACCTAAAAATTATTTTATTACTTTAACAATGGCTTAAAATAGATGATATTTGTATGTATTTTCCTGATCAAAGTCCATTGTTTAAATTGTTTACAGAAAGTAAATTATAATTCTTCATACCTGTAATTATAACAGCTATCAACAGAAGAAAGAGAGACATTTCCTATAAAGATTTCATGAAGGAAATCGTTTGCACAGCAGATATGCCTTTAAAAGTAATGCAAGAATAAGACACAGTGGTATTGTAATGACTCAGGTTTAAGAATGGAAACAAGATTACCTTATCTTACCTGAAGCGGCCAATCTCGTGTGGTCAGCAACAAAGGTACTTAAAATGGTTTCTGTTGTACGTTCATCTACAACGGAGAAAAAAGTACTCGGTGATCTATGTGTTTTTTTTTGTTGTCTCTGTGTAACGCACAGACAACGATAAGAGAGATGGTTTACAGTTACTATAACACGGCATGTACATGTAATTACACGTACTTGGAAAAATGACAAAATTTAGATTTCAAGCTCTGGGTTAGAGTGAAATATTCATCGCTTACAGAGGTTTTTAATTCGGAGATCTCCAGCCCCGTCATCATGAAACATCTTAAGCTTAGGTCAAAATCTTTCAATTGTATTGAAATGTTGTAGACGTCAAGCAGACCAAAATTAAAATAAATTTCGATATTGTTTCACAAAAGTGTTGCTGTCTGCAAATTTAGAGATTAGTTCAATAAACAGTTTACAGCTGATTGGATATTTGACTTAAGTCTAAGACTGTTTCATAATCCTAATGCCAGATGAAAGTGTCATTTGAAGAGATCGTAACACAGTTATGAATAAATTCATTAACTCTACAAACAACTGTCTCGTCAATGAAATAACAAGCCACTGTACATGTGTTTGTGACACGTGATTACACACAATCAGTCGTATAACGATAAGTGTCTAAGATACCAGTAAATGTTTGTACTGTGCAAATAAATCTCTATAAAAAATATGATGCAGTTGATTGACAATTTGAAGCACCCAATAGTAAAAAATGCTTGGTGCTGCATCTTTCTTCAGCTGTAGTCGACTATAACCCATGGATAGGGCTCTACATGGCTCAATTGGCTATTGTCTATCATGACTATTTCCTAGTAGTAAACAAAAGGACTCCAAATCTTTATTTGTCCCTTTGGGCCATTGGTTTTTTTTATTTATTTAGTATTTATTTATTTCTCTTTTTTTTTGCATTAGAAAATTCATTCATGGTCGGGCTAGTTTACTTGACAGGGTTGTGAGTCTATTCTCATTTCTTGTTTTAAGTTGTACTATTAAGATACACAATATAAATAAGTTGTACTATTAAGATACACAATATACATAAAATATTACTATTATTATTATGGTTTTGGGTCCTTTTCAAAATCTACTTGCCCAGTGGGGCAGTGATATTACAGAGTTGACCTGTAAAACTTTAAGGTGATAGCCCAAGTGACC